ACGTACTGTTGAAGCCTAGCTTGTAGGATCTTGAGCATGACCTTGCTAGCGTGTGATATGAGTGCAATTGTGCGATAGTTTGAACATTTCTTGGCATTGCCCTTCTTTGGGATTGGAATGTATACTGACCCTTTCCAATCCTGTGGCCACTGTTGCGTTTTCCTAATTTGCTGGCAAATTGAGTGCAGCACTTTAACAGCATCATCTTCTAAGACTTTGAATAGCTCAGCTGGGATACCATCACCTCCACTAGCTTTGTTGTTAGCAATGCTTTCTAAGGCCCATTTCACTTCACATTCCAGGATGTCTGGCTCGAGGTCAGTGATTATACCGTCGTGGTTGTCAAGGACATCGAGGTCTTTCTTGTATAGTTCTTCTGTGTATTCTTGCCATCTTTTCCTAATCTCTTCTGCTTCTATTTGTCATTACTGGGGTGTAATTCACTATACCCCCCCGCAAAGAAAATAGAAAAGTAGGAGTTATTCTTGAAGTAAAGATTATTTTGTTCTTTTTTAAAAAACCCAAATCTTGGACTTGAAGTTTCTTCATTCTAAGGTGTTTTGCAAAGCCCTGGCTGTTTTTCCTGATTCACTTACTTGACAGATCTGAATTTCATCCTTTTATTGATGGTGTTGTAGCTTCCTGGTAGCTTGCCCTAGCCTGATCTTGCCAGAACTTGGAAGCTAAGTAGGGTTGGTCACAGCTAGTAGTTGGATAGGAAACCACCATAGAAGACAGGCATTGCTATGCAAAGGAAGGCAATGGGAAACTATCTCTGCCCAAAACTTGCTGGTCATCCCGGGACCCAAGGACATCAAATTAGCTGCGACCAGGGCCAGGGCTTTTTCGGTGGCGGCTCCTACCTGGTGGAACGAGCTCCCGGGGGAGATCTGGGCCCTGTGGGACCTTATGCAGTTCCGCAGGGCCTGCAAGACGGAGCTCTTCCGCCAGGCCTTTGAGTAGGAGCTGCCGCCCCACTATACCACCACCGTCAAGGTATCTTAAAGGATGCACGGGCCGATGAAGATCCTGGAATATGTAAAGAAGATCTGATAAACTGTCGCCATTCATGGGAGTACCACCTGGAATTGTGTCGATCCCATCTTGGATTATGATATCAGTGACTGAGCACCGTTGTTGTTATTAAGTGTTAGTTGTTTTTATTATGTTATAGATGTTTATAAATAAATGTTTATTTAGATGTTTATAAATAAAAGTTTATTTATTAGATGTTTATAAATAAATGTTTATTTATTAGATGTTTATAAATAAATATTTATGGCACGGCTGATTACCTTGCCCTTGTGAGCCGCCCTGAGCCCATTAGGGAGGGTGGGATACAAATGTGAAATAAATAAATGTGAAATAATTTCTTGCCTTGGAAACTGATGATTCTGGGGTTGTCATGAGTAAGCATCAACTTGATGGTACAGTTATTAATATTATTGGTGCTGTCAATTTGTGGGATGCTGGAGCCTCCAGAACAGAAACAACAAGGCATTTTATATATTTATTTAGTAAATTTTCATCCCATCCTTTCTCCAAGAAGCTCAAGGCAAGGTACCCCATTCTCCTCCATTTTGTCCTTACAACAACCCTATAAGGTAGGTTAGGCTGAGAGACTGACTGCAAGATCTCACAGTGAGTTTCACAGATGAGTGAGGATTTGAACGCAGGCCAGCTCTGCTAATCCACTGGTGAGGGAAATACACTCTGCATTGTGCTAAGAGTCAATTGCCCTCATTCACCTATTGCAGAGCCACACAATGGCCTCATGCAAACATACACTGAATTGGTGCTTCCTTTGAACACACTCCTTTGAAGCTGAAGGATGCTTTGTGCCCACCCTTTCTTTGTTTCCTGAGCTGGATTTCATAGCTAATGTCTGGGGCAGCAGCCATGTTCTGTTAGACACAGAAGGACTGACACTGGAGCCATCTCCACCCTGACCTAAAGAGCCTCTTGCTCAGGGTAAAAGAGGAGAGCGCAAAGGTTGGCTCTCAACATCAAAAAAACTAAGATCATGGCATACAGCCCCCTAACTTCTTGGCAAATAGAAGGGGAAGTCATGGAAGCAGTGACAGAATTAATGTTTCTGGGATCCAAGATCACTGCAAATGGTGACTGCAGCCATGAAATTAAAAGATGCCTGCTCTTTGGGAGGAAAGCTATGGCAAACCTAGACAGCATAATAAAAAGTAGAGACATCACCCTGCCAACAAAAGTTGGTATTGTCAAAGCAATGGTATTCCCAGTAGTAATGTATGGCTGTGAGAGTTGGACCATAAGGAAGGCCGAGCGCCAAAGAATAGATGCTTTCGAATTATGGTGCTGCAAGGAGATCAAATCAGTCAATCCTAAAGGAAATCAACCCTGACTGTTCCCTGGAAGGCCAGATACTGATGCTGAAGCTGAAATACTTTGGCCACCAAATAAGAAGGGAGCACTCACTGGAGAAGACCCTGATGCTGGGAAAGGCTGAAGGTAAAAGAAGAGGGGGACGGCAAAGGATGAGATAGTTAGACAGTGTTATCGATGCAACGGACACGAAATTGAGCAAACTCCAGAGGATGGCGAAAAACAGGAGGGCCTGGCCTGATGTGGTCCATGGGTCGTGAAAAGTCGGACTCGACTGTGCGACTGAACAACTGAAGAATCCCTCTCTTCACTAATTCAAAGTAGGTATTTACAAACCAGACAGAGGCTGCAAATTGAGTCAAAGCAAAATGAAAAGCTAAGAAACATCTCCCAACTAAGTGCCTGCGGCTACGTTTAATAAAAGGCATTCCCCGGCTTTTGTTTTTGGACCACCGCAGATGCAGTTAGACATAAGCGTTACTCATAATTATTACTTCCGGTTTATGTTCGGTCGCATCCATCTGAGTGGCAGGAGCACAACACAAAAACATAAGTGTCACACGTAAGAGTCACAGAAAGCGAATCCATGTTCTCTCGGTGTGTACAAATTTGCGGAAGCCGCTGTATAATCTCCTCCGTCTCTATGGTGCCTGGTTCTTGTTCTTCAGATCAGTAGCTTTGTAGGTTCAGATGGGAACTGGAAGTATCTTCAGGGCTCTACCGGTGGTTCTACTGAGCCCAGGACCCCTGAAGGGAAGTGAGGGAAATGCCGGAAACGGCGGTTACGGACTGAAGGGGCGGGGCTTCTTCAGAGGATCAAAGGTCAGTAAATAGAGGTGACGTCAAGAGACCAAGATGGCGGAAGGGTGAGAATAAGACGGAGCGCTGGGGGCGGTGCCACCGGTCGGGCGGGGGGAGGCTGGGGGGACTCGGGAAGAAGTGGGAGGGGCGGGGAGAAAGAGAAGCTGCCCGAAGCACCCGGGCGGAAATGAGGCCCCCTGGGCATGCACAGAGTGGCTCTGTGCTTCTTCCCCGAGCCAGCGCTGCGGGTTCTCTCAACGCTCCCAGAGTGGAGTCTCGGCCCTAGAGGGGAGCGGTGAGAGGGAGCCCGGTCCCTGTGGTTAGCTTGTAGGTTACAGGGAGGGGCTCTGAATCTTTGGCCTGGACATAAGTGAGAGCTAACCCGGGGTGGGTGGGAGGAAGGCAAGAGGACGCGTTCGAGAAGGGGCTCTGGGATCAAGCTTTGTTGTGAGGTGAAGGGCGAGTAAGCACTTCGTGTTATTTGCAGTAGGTAGTTCCTTTCCGTGGCTTTTGTACAGAGAGAGGGGGATAAACCGACTTCCCAAAGACCTTGATGGCTAAATAAGGATCTGAAATCCCGCTTCCTTGGTGTGTTGCTCTGCTTGTCTGTGAAGTATTTTTGTATGCTGACAGGTGTTACACTGTTCAATAAAAGCTGTTTGTTATGATACAAAGTTTTTTTTTTCTCAATGTAGTGACTGAGCAGCAAGAATCCAAAAGGATTCTTAGGTTAAAAATGCCTGCAGGGGAGTGGTAATCGAGTGAACCTGCATTCCTTTGCTCTCATCCAGGTTAACTTGTCTGATTTAAAGATGGAGTATCATCACCTCTCATTTTTATTTTTGAGAGGGAAGGGGCCATGGCTCAGTGGCAGAACATCTGCTTGGCATGCATGAGGTCCCAGGTTCAGCCCTTGGTATTATCAGGTGAACGGACCAGGCAGTAGGTGATTTGAAAGACCTCTTCCTGAGGCCCTAGAGAGCCACTGTCAGCCTGATTGGACAATACTGACCTTGATGGACCAAGGGTATAAGGCAGCTTCATGTGTTCTTGTGGACCATTGGGCTGTATGCTGTAGCAATATATTCTTCTGGCATTTTTTAAAAAGGGCTGTTATAAAAGAGCTGTTATAAATATTGCAGTAGTTTGGCTTGTACCTTTAATTCATGGCTTCAGCCATAGTAATGAATTTTGTACAAGTCACTGCTATACTTATCTAATTTTGGGGGGTATTGTTTGCATTTTATGTGTATATCTGTGCCCGGAAGTCATGGTGAGCTCTGGTGACTCCTACTGGGGCATGGAGGACATTCAGAGAAATGACTTGATAGCCTGCCTTTGCCTCCTAGCTCTGGTATTCTCTGGAAGTCTCCCATCTGAATACTTGCCAGGGTCGGCCCTGCTTAGCTTCTGAGATCTGACAAGATTGGCCTTGTCGGGGTATCCAGGTCAGGGTGATACTTATCTCATTTTTTGACACACAGGTCATGCTGTTCTTTTTCTGGTGGATGTCACAACTATTCACACCTTGTACTTAGACTTGACCCACTCACTACTAACAAAATGTAAACTAAAATTGGACACTAGAATGTTAGGTTACTTTTTAAAAAAGCTTTCATCTAAATGGTTATGTTGGGAGATGTTACTGAAAGGCAATCACAAAAATATCCTCAAGGAAAGCAGGGCCATGTTTAGCCCATTGCTGTAATTACACCTGATGATGTCACATGGATTCTTCTGAAACATGTGCTTCTAATGGCTGGGAATGTAAAGTATTTATTGAGCTTTGATGAAAGGATGTTGTGTTAAAGAAATGAGTTTAGTTTTGAAGCAGAATTGTTAGCTATAGGACTTGTTGGGAATACGCTGGTGTTCATAAGGCATTCCTTGGCATGAGTTTATGGTGTAAAATTCCCACTTTCAGCTTCATATGTTTGTCCTGTAACAGGGAAGATGGAGGCTGGTGGAGGAGCTGGTTACAGCAAAGTATTCAAACTGTCAAAGAGAAGGTAAGTACCATCTGTTTTTTGTCAAGTTGGAGGAGTATTGATTAATTGAAGACTGTTGTCAGAAAGACACAGCCAAAGGTATATAGCAAATTGTGTGGGCTTTTCCACAGCATGACGGAGCAGCTTCCAAAGTGAGAATGTTCCCTTGAGTGCTTCTCAGTTTAGGGGTGTATGCTTTCCCTTGCTGTAGCCCGTATCTTCAAACTGGAGTTGTAAGAAATGTTTTGCGCCTGTTTTCCCATTTGGGAATTAGATTAGTCAATGGGCTACTTTGTGTGTGCATGGGCAGATGTAAGTCTTTGGTTTGCAGGGAGGTAAAGGCATGCACACTCCTGAAACTGGCTTGCTACTGACTGACCACCTTTTACCCTGCCCCCACTCCACATAGTTTTTTTTGTATGAGTTGTCTTCTGTTCTCTTCCCAATTAGAAGAAGGCATAGCTGCTATGCACATGGAATAGTCCAGTTTAAACTAGGTTCAGTGTGACTGCAGGTGGAGGCAGCTTTTCTCTAAGCCAACGTCACCCATAAATCAAGCCTTAAGGCCAAACTACGCAGTACGTTTAACACATGATTACTATTGGGACTAGCAGTTCAGTTCAAAGTGTTGCAGGCCCAATGCTGATCTGCAGTGTGGGGAGAGCAGGCACCTCCTCACACTGTTTTCCCAACACTGTTATTCAATCCGTTTGGGGAAGCAGGTATATAAGCACTCAATATGCATGCATCCCCTGACAAAGCAAATAACGGCACCTATGGATTGGTTCAGGTTGCACTCTCTCCTCCCCCTGCACTGTAATCCTGAGACAAATTGAGCCCCTGCAGTACTTCTAAATTGTGCTGCGGGGTGGGCGAACTGTATGGCTGCAAGGACTTCCTGATGGCACCTGGTATGTTCTCTTATGTTAAGCCCCCATGGCAGTCACATGTTAAATGTAATGTGTAGCTTGCCTCTCGGTGTGGCTTTCTAGCCAGGGCTGTTTAACTTGGAGTGCTGAGATGCAACTTCAGATTCCTGTTTGGCTACAAATTGTGGAATGGCCTTGGGCAAGTCACTTATCTCTATGTCTCACTTCCTCAGCTATTAAAATGGGAGTAATAATTGCTTGTTATGCAAAGCAACTATGGCTGCGGTCACACGGAGCATTAGGCACACTAGAGAGACGGAAGATAGGCGGATTTTCCAGGTGCGATCTCACCGCCACATCTGGGAAGCGGAGAGCTCCCGTGGCGAACCCGAGGCTTCCCGCCGAAGCTGCGTGGTTAAAAACTAGTACCTCGAAGGTACTAGTTTCCAGTAACGGCGGGGCAAGGGCGGGCGTCTGATCGCGTTTCCGGTGGTAGTTCCGGCGCCCGCCCATGCCCCCTCGTATAAAGGGGTTTTTTTTTAACTGTCCATGGGATGCGCACAAGCACCCAACGGGGCATGCGCACACTTTGGTTCCGGAAAACAAAACACCTGTTTGCCGCGCTGCTTCTTTGCCACGGCGCAGGATTGTGGTGTGCTCGGCACCTCCCCCCTACCACAGGACCTCCACGGTATGTCTGCTGGCGCAACCGCGCGTTATTTTGCCCTGGGGCAAATAGCCACGCCTCCCCCCCACGATATCCGGCCCAAGTGACCCGGGGCCTAGGTTGAACACAGTAAACTGCTTTAGCTAGCTGTGAGCATTTTCCAGTGGGTCTTCAGAACAGCAAGGCTCTAAAGGCCAGTGGGTTACCTGCCTGCCTGTCATGGATGGCAAGGTGATAGCACTTCTCCCTTTCCACCCCTTGCTAGCTGCACAACTCATGCTATTTATCATAAAGGAAAGACTGAAGAGGGGAATGAAGTTGTCTAGAGTCAAGGAACTTGCCCAACTTTTCGTCCTGGGCACAGAAGGATGTTCTCTGTGGCTTGCCTTGCTGAAGTCAAGGAACTTGCCCAGTTTTTTTTCTGTTCATTCTCTGTGGCTTGCACTCTTGCAACTGTCCTGGGGCAACCAGTTAGGGCCAGTGAGACTTGTGCCCACCTCTCTTGAAGATGCTGGCAGTTCTGCCAAGAGCTGAGGATCTGACGAGCCTGAAGTTGTAGAGAAATCTTCAAAACAGGCAAGAGCTGCCAGACACCTAGCAGTGTTTGCTCTGTTGAACAGCACTCCCTTGCTTGACTTGCCCAGAGGTTCCTGGCTTCAGCTTTAAAGAACTTTGGCAGTTCCTGTGGGTGTACTCAGCAATATGATGAGTCTGTCCTGCTCTCTCTCTTTCTGCTGCAGTCCACAGAGGCCTTGGAGTTCATGAAACGGGACTTGACTGAGTTCAGCCAGGTGGTCCAGCATGACACAGCCTGCACCATCGCGGCCACCGCCAGCGTGGTCAAAGAGAAGCTGGCTGTGAGTGGGCACTGAGAGCCAAAAAGGGAATGGAGGTGGGAGAGTTTGGGAGGTGCCGGCAGTTTTTTCACTAATATCCCCTTCCCAATCCTTTATTCTTCTCTGTACTACTTTGTTATATCAAGCCTCCAACATGATGGGGCTGGTAGGTTAGCACTGTCTGTGGTTCCTCTGCTTTCATTTCCCCCCTCCTCACCATCCCTTCTTTTGTCTTTGAATAGACGGAGGGTTCTTCTGGCACAACAGAGAAAGTGAGAAAAGGACTTTCCAACTTCCTGGGCGTCATCTCAGACACCTTTGCACCTTCGCCAGACAAGACTATCGACTGTGACGTCATAACTCTGATGGCAACCCCTTCCGGGACCACCGAGTTGTATGACAGTGCCAAGGTGCTCCTTCAGCCACTCCCCCTCCCCCCATCTGCCTTTGCCTGCATTGTGGAGATTTATGTACACAGGACAGTGGCCTCTTCGTTTCACACACATGTTCTTGTCTGTTCTCTTCCAGGCCCGGCTATACAGCCTTCAGTCCGACCCAGCCACCTATTGCAATGAACCAGATGGTAAATCAGGGGCTTGGCTGATGTGAGAAGGTTGGGGCAAGGGAGATGCATGGTGTTAGGGCTGTCTGGAAAACAGACCAGGCATCCACTTGATAGCAGTGCCATTTGCATTTGCGAGGGCATGCCATTTGCCTTCATAAAGCCAAGTGTGGGGTAGATTGACCAGAATTCAGAAATAAAGGATGTACCAAAAGGGAAAGGAAGCTTTTTAGCCTAAGGAAGCTGTATAGAGGAGTCAAAGCATGTGGGGAATGATTCTGGGTGGTCCTTGACTGTAATTGATTGGAATGCTTGGGGACTGGTCTAATGGGTGGGGCATTGAGTTCTGTTGTGGGATGGTTCCAAGTTCAAATTCCTGTTTGGCTGTGAAGTGTGCCTAGTATCCTGGGCAAGAAATACTCAAGACTAGAATTCTAGAGCAGTTGCCTCTAGTGAGAGCCATGTTTGCATCTGCCATTCCACCTCCCCTGTTGCTGCTGCTTCCCCATGTTATTATCCCCACCCTGTAGTACTGTAGTGCTTTTTGGACAGCCTGGGAAAGGTGTCACAGAACTAGCCTTCCCTCCTGTCTCAGCTCTTTGAAGATGTCATGAGCAACCCAGGTGAGCCCCTGCTTCACTTTTCAATTATGGATGGATGTGCACAAGAGCTTCTCTTTTAAGGCCAGAAGGGATGGTGCGCACAGCCACCTAAGAACTAGCAGGACAAGTCTGCCTATTTCTGTCTGCTCTGTGCAGTTAAGGAAGGCAGCTGAGCTAATGACAGGATTGCAGAAGCGAAGGGTGGAGGAATAGGCCTTGAAACGACCAGGCTATACCCAAGAACCTGAGTTCTCCCTACTGTTGCTTGGGATTTGTAAGGAGGGCAGGCAAGTGTGAAGTCTGCAGGTGGATGCCTGCCTATTCAGCCTGTTCCAGAGAGGATGGAATGAGTAGTGTGTGGACACAGAGGAGTGGCATTTTTGGGGTCCCAGAGCATAAGAACATAAGAGAAGCAATGTTGGATCAGGCCAGTGGCCCAACCAGTCCAACACTCTGTGTCACACAGTGGGCAAAACCCAGGTGCCATCAGGAGGTACACCAGCAGGGCCAGAACTCCAGAAGCCCTCCCACTGTTGCCCCAGCTGGAGCTATTCAAGCAGCTGCCTCCTTTCCTTGTACCTTCATGCCTTCCTGTCTCCACTACTGGCTCTTGGTGGTGGAAGGTGGTGGGGTTTGCATCAGCATCTTCTTTGTGAAGGCAAGCAGAGGCAAGGGGGCTTCTAGTTTAGAAGAACTACAATTACAAAGGGAGCCTTGACTTTCGAAAGCTCATACCCCCAAAATCTTGTTGGTCTCTAAGGTGCTGCTGGACTCGAATCTAGGTCTGCTACTATGGTGACATGCTAAAGGTTTATAAAATTGTCATGGAAGACACTTTTCTCCCTGTCTCAGAAATACTAAAAATTAGGCTCATCCAATTAAATAGAGTTCAGGACAGGGGGGAAACTCCCTGCAAGTCTTTTAAGTAGTGCATCCAAAGGACTTTGTTGCTAGGAGTTGTACTCCTGGGGTCCATAATGCCCCCCTTGGGGTTGGCAACCATCAGCTGAAGGAGTACCAGTCTGGTCCATCAGGGTTCTTCCACTGTGCTGGTCATCCAACACAGGTCTGCAGATAGACAGACTTGACTTTATTTGGTCAGAGAGCCTGGCATGGTGTAGCAGTGAGTGTCAGACTAGGATCTGGGAGATCCAGGTTCAGATCCTCACTTTACCATGGAAGCTTGCTGAGTGACATTGGGCCAGTTGCGTGTACTCGGCTTAACCCACCTCATAGGGTTGTTGTAAGGATAAAATGGATGGAAGAATAATGTAAGTTGCTTTGGGTCCTGGTTAGGGAGAAATGTAAAGAGATACTGAGTAAAGAGATACTTTCCCTGCCTGCAGTTTACAAGCAAAAAAGGCAAAATACATGAGGAAAGATGAGCGAGGGGAGTGGTAGACAGAGATCAGTTTGGGCCTCTGCATTTATACCCAATTGAGCTTCTCTTCCTGTTTGGAGGGAGATGGCATGACTGTTCTGCGGCCTTTTGTCCTTTGGCTGATGATGGAGGCTGGAGCGTACTGCAGTGCCAAAACAACTGGCAGTTGGGACAGGGAACCCAGTTCCCTCCAGCCGCTGCTTCTGTGGCTGGATCCATTTTGTTTTTCCTGTGACGGAAATAATGCAATTTCCTCATGCATCTGGTTATTCTGGGTGGAATAATAGACTATAATGCAGTATTTTGCACTCTCCCGTGGGTGACTACAGTTGTGTCATGGAGTGTCTCCACTAACACTTCTGTGTTTTTCGCTCCTTTGAGTGTGCATTGGTTACTTGCAGCTCTGGTTTGAGGATTTTGGTTCCCTCCCCTGCAGGACCCTCTGAGCTCTTTGAGGCCTGGCTATCACACTTTGACCTAGAAGAGAAAAAAAAGGAGATCTCGGAGCTGCTGGGGAGCAGCCCGTCCATCCGATCACTGTACACCAAAATGGTAAGGTGGCACGGCATAGCTTAGTCCCTTTGTTCTCTTGCAGCCACTGCTGACACCGAGCTCTCGTGATGTTACTTGAGAATGTTATTGGCAGAAATAGGGTATTCTTCTGTCTTTAGAGGAGTGGGCCAAGGCTGCTCACTATGGCACTGATCAAACAAAGGATAAAAGATTTCAGTTCTGTTTTCTATGTAGAGTTCTTGCCTGCAGGGGACTGCCAGCTTCCACTCTGACTGGGGTTGCTGAAGATCCAAGAGGGCAGATTTAGTGTTAAGCCTAGACCTCTGCAGTTGGGGTTAATTTGATGAGATGGTCCAGGAGGAGATCTTCCATACGTGACTGGGTTTAAGAGAAGCCGTACCAACAAAGTCCTCACTCTGTGCTTATTCTTCTGTTTCCTTCCAATGACCCAGGTGCCAGTGGCTGTGTCCCACTCAGAGTTCTGGCAACGCTACTTCTATAAAGTCCATCAGTTGGAGCAGGTAAATTTGCAGAGGTTCCCTGAGGGTGAGAGCTTTTATGTGGGCAGTTTTGCTCCGATGCAGGCTATGGTTGAGTATGGCACAAAAGGTTATTTGGAGAAAGAGTCCTTCACCGTATTTCAGGAGAGAGAGATGCCGAGCTCTGGGGAGGACATAATTGACTACATCTTTCTTCCTTTCTTCCATGTGCACCCCTCCTTACACAACCTTCTTATGAATTAGTGGGTTCAGTGATACAAAGGGTGTGCATCCCACAGCATTCGTAGACCTTATGGAGAGGAGTCCCTGGAGAGAGACTAGGCTTCTGGAAGCCTTGCAGACTATCCCTTATTAAACTCCAGCATAGATTGCATCAGAATTCTGGAGGCATTCTTTTGTGTCTACTGTTCGAAAGCATCACAAGCTGCCTGAAAAATCAAGTTGCCAAGGAGGTGGTTGCACGTCAGTGACAGAGAAGGCAGCAAGTGTAAGAGTCCCTGTTGGCCAAAAAGTCTACCTGGTAACAGAGTAAGCAAAGAGCTGCCTGGTGATCTAGCAACCTTTGCACCTGATGCTGGGATTACTGCAGTATCTGGGGCTCTGAAAACAGCCATAGAGTTGACTCTCTTGACATATGGCTCTGATGGTGCCTTCCTGGCAATCGGGAGGCTGCCTGAGTGTTTGCTGTCTCTGTTATTAGGATGGGAGGCGTCTCAAAACCAAATAGACATAAATTTGCACCTGTCATGACCCCAGGGGGGTTGCCACCAATGTTCCCTCGAAGCTGTGGAGTCTTGTGAGCAAGAGTTCTACTTTGTGAGCTACTGGTATTAAAGTTGTGAGCGAGTGATTTGGCTGCTACTTAAATTAGTTTGCTCTGGAGCCATCCTTCCTGAGCTACGACAAAAATGTATGAGCTGGAGGTTAAAAAACTGAGAGCTAGCTCACACTAACTCAGCTTAGAGGGAACACTGGTCGCCACCTTCAGCTGCCACCACTCTGGACTTGACTGCTGTTGTGGCGGCTCTCCTTTCACCTCTGACAGCTTACCGGACCAAGGTGGGGACTTAGGAGACTCCCTCTTATCCCAGTCACAAGGGGTGCTGTACTTCTGCCCTCCGTAGGCTTCAGCCAATTGCTTGGACCACTGTCCTGCTTCCTGGAGAGTGGAAGGACTCTTGTCCACAGGGGGCGCCTAATATGCTCTGGAAGAAGAGTCAGGAACCTGTCGATGCACATCAGGACCTTGATGTCATCCATGGTCTTGGCCACAGCAACCTCTACCCATAAATCATAGGTTCTTCCCAGCCTATACATCAGCTGTGGGTAGGGCTCTTTACCTTCCAGCCAAGCGCTTTCAGGCCCCTTCTTTGGTGAACCCCTCTCACTGATGCACTCTTTGATTGGAGAGCTTATAGTTGGTCCTCGCTTCGTCTTCCATCTGGCCAGACACTGAAGGCAGGACTCCAGACAGCTGCGGTTTCACCTTTTCTTATTTATTTTATTTATTTATTTTCATACTTATACCCCGCCCTCCCCAGTGGGCTCAGGGCGGCTCACAGAGGCAAGAACAACTTGCCATGATAAAACAATATATACAAAACAGTTTAAAACATATACTACATATTAAAATATAATAACAGGTGCTCAAACTCCCATTCATAATCTAAAAGATGGCGGATTGAATGTCCAAAGTCCCACGAAGACGGCAGGAGGATTCTTCGATAGCAGATGTTTAATCAGGACCTCAGGGCGATGGTGGTATAGTAGGGGTGGCGGCTCCTACTCAAAAGCCTGGCGGAAGAGCTCCGTCTTGCAGGCCCTACGGAATTGCATGAGGTCCCGCAGGGCCCTGATCTCCTCCGGGAGCTCATTCCACCAGGTAGGAGCCGCCACCGAAAAGGCCCTGGTCCTCGTGGCGGCTAGTTTGACATCCTTAGGGCCCGGGATGACTAATAAATTTTGGGCCCCTGACCGTAGTGCTCTTGGGGGAACATACAGGGAAAGGCGGTCCTTCAGGTAGGTTGGACCCTGGCCATGTAGGGCTTTATAGGTAACAACCAGCACTTTGAAGCGAATCCGGTACGCTATTGGCAACCAGTGCAGCGCTTTCAGCGCAGGCCGCACATGGTCCCTTCTAGAGAGACCCATTAACAGCCTGGCCGCAGCATTCTGCACCAGTTGCAGCCTCCGGATT